CCTTCCTGTGTATCAGAGGCAGTAGTGCGGGGTGGCAGGCGGGAGCTGGTTTTTAAACTGGCTTTCCTCGAGGATTGGTTCCCGCCTGTCACCCCCCACTATTGCCTCTGATACAGAGGCAGCAGCATGGGGTGGCAGGGGACTCCCCAGGAGTGGGGCTGGAGTGTATTGGCTGCTGGCCCTGCCCCCAGGGGGTATTTTAGTGACTGTGTAACCACAAAGATGTATTGTGGTTACACAATTACTAAAATACATGAAATCGAGCATCCCAAGGCGACACGCAACACAAGGGAGTGTCCTGCAGGGCACCTTGAAGCAACTCCCCAGCCCCTGCGCTCACCTGGCGTCCGGCTGCCCGGCACCTTCATGTACAGCTGCACGGTGTTCATGCCCAGGATGGTGTGTCCCACATGGCTCAGCATGTTGCCTGTCGACGTGACCCGCATGAAGGCCGGGAGTTTCAGCAGCTCCTGCAGCTGTGGCTTCCACCTGGCAGGGGAGGGGGAGTGTCAGAGATTGTTTCTGTCCCCACCCCACCCCCCGCCATGTGGCCCCCAGCCCAGCACTCCTCCCATCCTAGGAGGCTGGGCAGGCACATGGGAGTCGGACCCCCCACCTGGTCGGATCCCTGCCCCCTCACCGCTTGGCGTCGGATAGGTCAATGTTGGTCCCGAATTTGATGATCTGATGGGATTTCTGGTCCGCACTGCTGCTGGTGAAAGGGGGATGGTCAATGGGGGTCCCCTGGCTCTCCCCTCCCTTTCTCTCTGCTCCCCATCAGCTCAGGGATTGACCCCCATGTTTCTCCCCCGCGAGTGTGGAGATGCCTCCCATGGGGTGAGATCAGGATTGGCCCCGAATAATCACGTCCCCCACCACTTCCCTGAAGTGCCCTGAGCCTGGGGTCAGGCCCCCTCCACACCTAGCAAATGCTGAGTCACACTCCCCAGAGCCTCTTCCAGCCATGGGACTGCAGCTCCCTGTCAATACTGGAGTTACAGCCCCCATGACTGGCCTGCCTCCTTTCCTAAAGGATAAAGCTGCAGGCAGGGAGGGGACCCCAATGCTCCCTTCGTACCTGGGGGGTGTCTCCGTAGTGCTGTCGGGTTCATCACCCTCTTCGTCACTCTCCTTGTCCTCCTGCCCCAGAGAGAGCATGTCAGACCAGGACCCCCCACAGCCCCCACTGTAAGTGCAACCTGGGGCCCCTTCCTCCATCAGCACAAACGGGGCCCCCCTACGTGGCACCTGGCATCGCCTGGACATGGGGTGTCTCCCACAGGATACGGCTCCCCCCAGGCACATCCAGAGGGTGCACCCCCCCCAATTCGGCCCCTGCAGACATGTCCCGGAGCAGCACCCCCCTCCCCCACTCCTCGTCCCCCACTGTAAGTGCAACCTGGGGCCCCTTCCTCCATCAGCACAAACGGGGCCCCCCTACGTGGCACCTGGCATCGCCTGGACATGGGGTGTCTCCCACAGGATACGGCTCCCCCCAGGCACATCCAGAGGGTGCACCCCCCCCAATTCGGCCCCTGCAGACATGTCCCGGAGCAGCACCCCCCTCCCCCACTCCTCGTAGCTGTCCACAAGAGCCCTCTCCCTAAACACCTCTCACTGGGGCGGACACACCTATGAAAGGCTACACAGGGCTGTGGAGAGA